ATAAAAAGCAAAAAAAAAAAAAAAAGGGTTAGAGATGTAGCTCAGTGTGATAGCTCTGGGTTCAATTCCCAGTACCAGGGGAAAAAAGTAATCTGTAATTCCAAAGAGCCAATGTAAGTTCAGCAAGTATAAATGCACAGCAAATTGGTCTCAGTTTCTTGTTCTGAAAAGGTTCTTAAGAGTTACCGATGAGCGGAACTCCCTGACTATGGCATAGCTGAGTGATGAGAAGGGGAGCCCTACAAAACCAGGAAGTGTAAGGAGATAGACCTGGAGTGGGAGAAGACGGGAAGAGACATCAGGCCTTGTCTGTGACCTCCTGGGTTCCTGCTGAGCAGCATATGCCTGGATCTGGCAACCCTAATCTGAATCACCATGCAAAAAGAACACGCAGAAGGGAATTCAAAGAGCTACACCCAGACTGGCCACTGGGTGGCAGGCAAGGGGACCGCACAGCCAAGCTCTGGAAACTGACCTGAAGGTGGAAGCAGAGACTACAAAAGGTGGGTTAGAGCACAGACTGAGTGCCGGCTGGGCAAATATCAACAAGACTCGGAGCATCAAAGAGTCTGTGTGAGGGAGAAAAAGACTCGACTCACAAAGAATCAGGAACATCAACTTGCATGGGAAAAGTCAATAAACAAAGGCCAATGCTGAGACAGCCCAGATGCTGGAATGAGAAAACATTTAACAAGCATGTTTTTAAAAGCGTTCAGGAGGGTGGACACTGTGAGAAGAAAAGGAAGACAGAAGCTGTAGCAAAGACATGAAAGGCTGTTCTCCCAGCACCTGCGGAGGCTGAGGTAGGAGGCAGGAATTTAGAGATCGTGTCTCAAAAATTAAGGAGCCTGGGGATGAAGCTGAGTAAGAGTCTGGGTTCAACCCCCACCACTGCAAGCAGGGAAAAAAAAGGTACAGAGAACTGAATGGAAATTTTAGAAGTTTTCTAAAGAACACAGAAATTGAAATAAACCAGAAAAAATCATTAAATTTGATAAAAGACACACCTACAGATTCGAATACCTTTAAAACCCCAAACAAGATAAATTCAAGGAAATTCATGCACAGACGTCATACTGAAACTTCTGAAATGTAAACACAGGCCCCCAGCCTCAGGGGTGCTGACAGTCTGTGGGTTCCCGAAACCCTGGACAGTATCAGGCCCTATATCTGCAGACTGTGTTTGCTCCTATTCACTTATCTATGTCATAAAGTTCAATTTAGAAATTAGACACAAAGGGCTGGGATTTAGCTCAGTGGCACCGCGCCAACCTGGCAAGCGCAAGGTACTGAGTTTGGTCCCTGGTACCAAAAGGAAAAGAAAGAAAGAAATCAGACACATAAAGAGATAAAGCAGAATAATTATAACATTATACTGTAGTCAAAGTTATTAAAATTTATGAGTTGTTTATTTCTGGAATTTTCCATGTAATATTTCTAGATAGTAGCTAAAAGTGAAGTAAGGGAAGTTATGGATAAGAGGGGATTACTGAACTAAAAAAGTCTCAAAAGTATCCAGCAATTTGAATGACTACTGATTTATTATCAGACACCATGGATACAGAAGACCATATCCACAGTGCCGAAGAAAGAAGTGCTAGCTAGTGACAATGAACTATAGGGAAGCAGGTGAATAGGACCCAGTAACAATCAACTATGGGGACAAAGATCAATAAAGACAGGAAGAGGACCTAAGAAAATTCATAGTTGCTGGTCTTTTTTTTTGGGGGAGTCAGAGTTTTGCTGTGTAGTGCAGGCTGGCCTCAAACTCATGGGAGTCCTCCTGCCTCAGCCTCCCAAGTGCTGGGATTACAGGCAGGAGCTACCACACCCAGCTTGCTGACCTGTTCTGACCGAATGACTAAAGAAAGATCTTCAGCCATAAGGGAAACATGCCAGGAATAAGGGAAGAACAGGAACAGTACAAATCTGGCTAATAATGGAGCCTGTTCTCCTCTTAAGATCTTTAAAAATATCTGATGTTTGAAAATAAGCAGAAAAAGAAAAAAAGCAGAACACTGGAAGTTTTCAATGTTTGCAGGTGTTAATTCATAAAATAAGTAAAAGGACTTACGTGGTAGAAGTTTCAACATTTCACTTAAAATGGTGCATACAGACCAGAAGCAGCCTGTGAAGGCATAAGTATACAGCAATCCCAGAATAACCAAAAAACACTATAAGAATTACAGACATAGTGACAAATCAAAACAGAATAAAAAATGTTCAAATAAGCCAGGCGTGGTGGCTTACGCCTATAACTCCAGCACTTGGGAGGCTGAGGCAGAAAGAGCACCATGAGTTCAAGGATAGCGTGGGCTACCTAGTGAGTTCAAGACCAGCCTGAACTACATAGTGAGACCTTGTCTCAAAAAACAAAAACAAAAACAAAATTCAGATAATCCAAAAGACAGAAAAGGAGAAACACAAAAAACAGAACAAACAAAATGGCAGCCCTAAATCCAACCATTCTAATAAAAAGATAGCTTATCAGAATAGATTTAAAAAATAATCCAAGCTGTGCGCAGTGGTAGTGCTTACTTAGCAAGTGCAAGCCCCTGGGTGCCATTCCAGCTGCACAAAAACAAAAGCCTTTTTATAGGTCATACACTTCAAACATAATGACAGAGGCAGCTAAAGTAGAGAGGGACTGAAACACTTCCAAACTGCACAGTCAGTACTCTACAACCTAGAGAAAACCTCTAGAAAAGCAACGAGACCCCTGGCAAAGATTACAAGAATCGAACTTCCAGAATTGTGGACTGGCTCCCTGGATTGTCTGAGAAAAGTACCTGGATCCCAGTAGTAAGAATGAGCTCTGCGGTGCTTTTATGTGCTCTATTCCCCTTCCCCTCTCCCAAACTCTTGATGCAGGCCCTAAAACCAGGAGCCTCCCAAACACATTAGTGGTGGAAACCAGCAGGCGCCAGAGGAGGTGAGCAAGCTGGGAGTCCTGTCCCTGTGTGACAGGTCTGGCTCCCTGGAAAGTTCTCACAGCTGACTGAACTCAGAACTCAGGGGGTGAACAGCATTTTCCCCCCAGGGTACTTGTCAACTACAATCAACACCAACAGTTAACCATGGCAGGCACTAGAGGTGTTAGGAGCAGCTGAAGCAGAGAAGGAACTGATCAAGAAGTTGAGGAGGAAAAGTTGGGACACATGTCCTGTAAAGAAAATCCTACAAAGGCCTCAATCTCTCACCTCTGCTGCCCTCGAGGCTCTGTGAAAGCAGGAAGTGAAGCTGAGAAAACTGCACATGGCCTGCCAGGGTTGATGCCATGTTCCAGAGCTCCTTGGCAAAGTCCAAGTGAGGCATTTAAGGAAACCTCTGCTTTAAGAAAATCACTAACTGAGCCTATCAATATCAAGCAGAGATTTCAGTGGCCACAAAACAAAGAACATCGCTTTACCAGCTCAGGAAAATCAGTAAGCAATGCAAGAAGTCAATAAACAGGTAAGAAGCAACAATGACAATAAGTAGCATAAACAGTAAACCCCGAATGAGGAGGGTCAAACAACCAGAGCCCAGGAGACCTTTCTATTTCATACCACACGGGGCCAAACTACAATATCCCAACAGAACATGACCCCTGACCCTCGCATTCACACCCAATCCTGTGTGCAGGTCAGAGAAAATGACCAAGTGGTCTATTTGAGGGATGGGATCCTAACTGCCACAATTTAGCAGTCTCCAGGAAAGGGTGAGGAACAAAACCATCTATGATGTGTCACCCAGTAAATCCATAAGTCACCAAGGAGCTGTTTCTGAGAGGGGCCAATATTTCAGTAACCAAGAGAAATGTGACTTTATCCTAAGCTCAAAACCACAACCACACACCTAGGAGCCAACCCGAGGCAATGGGAACAGAAACTGACTCAGCCCAGAGGCAGACAGCTGGCATCTCCCAGTCTCAGCAACCTCGGCCTTTCTAGCTTATTCTCAGCTCCTGAGCTGCCTGGATGGCATCCCAGCCTCATGCTAAGTTTGGAGGTGGCAGGACTGGGAACACCATGGAATGCAGATCTCCAGGCCCCACTCCTCATTACTGAGAACTTCAATCTGGTCTAGGGCAGCAATGCACCAGCTCCCCAGGAGGGATTGTAATAGGACTCAATTAGTTATGACAATTCTATTTTCTATTCTTCTAACCTGTGGCAGGTAGAAATGCCTAAGTGACCTAGTATATAAGGTTATACCTGCTGCACACTTCTGGGGAAATTTTGCTCTCCAATTAAAAAAAAAAAAAAAAAAAAAAAAAAAAAAAAAAAAAAAAAAAAAAAAAAAAAAAAAAAAAAGACAAGACAGAAGTTGGGCATGAGAAAACATCAGTGACCCCAGCACCCTGGGAAGCTGAGAGAGAAAGACTGCAAGTTCCAACCCAGCCTGGGCAACTAAGCAACGAATGAGACCCTGTCTCACTACAACCCTATTTTTCCCTTTTTCCTGTTTTGAACAACAGATATGATGGCAAGAGCTATGGCAGCCATCACAACTCTGAAGGTAACAGATTCTGGGCTTGATGCTGCTGAGATGCTGAACCCACCAGGCTTCCACCTACAACCAGGCTTCCTGTCACGTAAAAGCAGCAAACTCCTCTTTGTTTAAGCATTGAGAGTTGACTTTTTTTTTTTGGCAGGCATAAAACTGACTTGGCAAGTGACTCAATCAAAACCAAAAGGACAGTGAGACTTCTGCAAGGAGCACTAGGACAGCCCCTTCATCCTTCCCTCCGGAGAAGAATGAGGCAGGATGCAGCCCGGGGAGTGGCCATAGGCACCTCTCAACCAGAGACCTGTGAGGAACCAGGAGGTGGGGGATGGACAGGGAGACCGCACCAGGGACTGCATCGCCACTGACTCCCTCCCCAGCCCTGCCCAGAAAGAGCCTGCCCCGGATTCAACGCACGACAACAGCTTTCTTTTCTGCTGGAGCCAGCGTGGCTTTCTGATGCTTGTAACTAAGAGAGAAAGGCTACTCAGAGAAGCACAGGCACCACTTGCCTTCTTTTTGTTTCCTCTGTTCAAGTTTCATCTTCTTTGCCAGTAATTTCTTCTCTTTTAACTTCTGGCTACAAAGGTAAAATATATATATCGGTTCCTTAAACATCCTGTTGTATGTTTTAGAAAATAAACACCTCCTATTTCAACTTAAATACTTAATACTAAGGTGGACTGGTGGTACGTGGCTGTAATTCTAGCTACTTGAGGGCCCAAAGCAGGAAGATGACAAATGCGAGGCCAGCTTGGGCAATCTGGCAAGGATTCACCTCAGGAAGCAAATAAAAAAGGGCTGGGAGGGGCCAGGGATTTAGCTCAGTGGTGCTGCTGTCGGCCTCGCAAGTGCAAAGTCCCAAGTTCAATTCCCAGTACCAAAAGGGGGGGGGTGCTGGGAGCCAGGCATGGAGGAGCAGGCCTACAATACCAGCACTGTGCAAGGCTCAAGCAGGGGACTCCAAGTTCAAGCCCATCCTGGGCAACTTATCTAGACCTATCTCAAAATAAAAATAGGTCTGGGGATGTAGCTTACAGCAAAGGCCCAGGGTTCAATTCCCAGTACCACAAAAAAGCAAAAACAAATAAACAAACAAACAAACACTGGAGATGTAACTAGGGCTCTGGGCTCAATCCCTAATATCATAAAAACCAACAAAAAAAATCTCTATACTAACACAAATACTAAAACAAAAGAAATACTTTCTCATAATTTTGTTATTCCAACACTATCAAGCTTTTTTCATTATGAATCAAGATCAAAGTCTGGGGAGGTGTGAGGTAATTAAAGCACCCCCCCCTCAAAAAAAACCACTACAAAGACTTTTGGGCTGGGGATTTAGCTCAGTGGTTCCAGCGCCTGCCTCGCAAGCACAAGGACCTGAGTTCGTTCCCCGGTACAAAAAAAAATAAAAACAAAAACACTAAAGCAATCCCCAAAACATTACAGGTATATTCATTCATATTCATTCTCTTTCTCTCGTTCCCCTTTGTGGTATTTGGGATTCAACAAACCCTTCAAACTGAGCTACACCTCAAGCTTTTTATTTTGGGACAGGGTTTCACTAAATCACTAAGTTGCCCAGGCTGGGTTTGAACTTGTGATCCTCCTGCCTCAGCCTCCCAGAGTGCTGAAGAGATGCATTTTCTTTTTCTTCAGAGATGCATTTTCGGCCCACAATATGTAGGGACTGTTTTTAGAATCCTGCACAGCTCTACTCTCAGTCGAGTAACCATTTATTAAAAGCACACACATGCATATGTGTGTACACTCACACACAGAGCCCATGTATCAACTTCAGGTCACAGACTCTTACTTAAGAGGCCCATTAAAGGTAGAAAGGATCATATAAAAGGCACAGAGATCCTTACTCCTGGGCTCTGGGGAATCTGTCACAAGCTGCGGAAGAAGGGACTTGCTCTCCCTCCCCAGTTACAGCTCCATTTCAGAGTACTCACACATGACCTCCGCAGATCACACGGGGACTTCTGACCCCAATGTCTCACTCACTCATCACCCACCCCTTGCTATCGGGCTGGGGCTGTAGCTCCGTGGTTAGAAGGCCTACCGCAGACAGAGGTTCAGTCCCCAGCAGCTCCGGAGCAAAACAAACAAAAAGCCCCAAACAACTGCCTCACATTCACACCTCCTGCCTGTCAGTCCCGCTACAGTTAGGGCACCGAGGCACTCACCGCTTTTTCCTTCTCTTTGCAGTCTGTTCCTCTGCAGCCACTTTATTTTTTTCCAGTCTCTTTTGAAACTCCGCATCCAATTTTTGCTGCAAAACATTCAAAAAAAACAAAACAAACATATCATTTAGAGATATACCTCAGACTAGCAGGCTGCTAGCAGTTTCACCTGAGCAGGGGTACGAGAGCTCTAGAGGCCTCACCACTTGGGGGACATCAGATACCAGCCATGTCCTCAGGGCCACTTTATTTTAAAAGGTTCCCCCCCTAGCAGGTCAGGTAATCCATACATAGCTCTGATGGCAAAGTAACTGAGACCATTGCCATACACACAACAAAATCTGCAAGGGGAAAGCAGAGGGAGCACTCGGAGGCCTCCTTGAGGGAAGAGGCAGTCCTGACTGACTGCTTAGCCAGAACCTACAACCCACCTGAGTGCATCACATGGGACGGCCAGAGGGCCAGAGCGGGGAATTTTCAAGTCCTAACCCTAGCTACAGTCATCAAATGCCTAGTTCTGAAGCAGCCAACCACGCCACCCACAGCTAAACACACACACACATTTCCTGCACCGGTGAGTGCATTGTAGTATTTCTTCCTAATAGTTGTTTCCAAACCTCAGTTTGCAAATCTATAAGAGTGTATAAGATTAATGTGTAAACCTGAAGTTTTAATCACTGCAGAAAGTTCCCTCATACCTCTACCCAGTCAGACTCCGACATGGCTCTGAGATAACCACTGTTCTAATTTTTTCTCACACAAGAAGGTTGTTTTCTGTTCTGGGATTTCATTTAAATCACATCATATGATATGGTCACTTTTGTGCAAGACTTCTTTCATTCAGCATGGTTTTAGTTTTTTGTTTTTTCTTTTTTTGGCATAGGGGATTGAACTCAGGACCTTGTGCTGGCAAGGCAGACACAGCACCACTGACCTAAATTCCCAGCCCTCACTCAGCATGTTTTAAAGAATCATGAAGCCGGGTGTAGTGGCACATGCCTATAATTCCACTGCTCAAGGAGACTGACAGTGCAAGTTTGAGTCCTACCCGGACAGCTCAGCAGGACCCTATCTCAAATTTCTGAAAAAGACTCATCCAAGTTGTTGCATTTATCTGTAGTTTGTTCCTTTTCATTGCAAAGTAGTTGCCCTGAAATGTCCCCCAAAGGCCCATGTGCTGAAGGCTTGATCACCAGCCTGTGGCTTTACTAGGAAGTGGTGAAACCCGCAGGAGATAGGGTCTAATGGAAGAAAGGTAGGTCACTCGTGACACTGAGCTCTGTGCCTTTCTCTCTCTCTCTGCTTTGCAGCTGCCATGAGGTAAAAAGCCTCCTCTGCTATGTGTCCTGCCATGATAAAGATGCCACTACAGGACCAAAGCAACAGGGCCAAATGGTCAGGGACTGACACACTGTGAAACCATGAACCAAAGTCCAACTTGCTCCCTTATAAACTATCTCAGGTATTTTGTCACAGTGATGGAAACCTGACAGAGTAGTAATCTATTTTATCAATGTTGTTTAACTTTTAAAAGTATTTCATTTGTTATATAGAAATTCTCTAAGGCCAGGGATTTAGCTCAGTGGCACTATACCTGCCTACCTTGCAAGCAGTCCTGAATTTGATCCCCAGTACAAAAAAAACAAAACAAAACAAAACTCTAGAGTCTGATTTTAATAAATTATTGGAAAGCCAAATGCTACTGGGAAAAGTAGCTCCCCTTCTCATAAAAAGCCGACAAATAAAATTTGAAACTATCTGTGTCTGAGTCTCCTTAAACTGCACAAATGTGTTTTATGAAATTAACAGGTATTATGGCTACACTGAGGAAAAGAACTTTTTTTGTTCATCATGTAGCTCAGGTTGGCCTTAAACTTACTGTGCAGCCCAGGCTGGCCTTGAACTCATGGCAATCCTCCTGCCTCACCCTCCTGAGGGCTGGAATTACAGGCATGTGCTACCATGCCCCACTCTAGGAAAATAACTTTTTTGTGGCTGATCTAAAAATGAATAACATGGGAAAATCCCTCTGTAGGGTTAGAAGTCAGTTAGAAGTATATTTGGAAAATCAGTAATTGGTCACACACACTTGATTTGCATTAGTATTAAGGTGGGCAAATATAGGAACAGTCCTCCCCCGGATTCCGTCTGTGCATCTGTCCTCTGGAACAGTGGCCTTTTGTCTCCATCTGCATTCTCTCCCCCACCTACACTAAGTGTGTGCCACCACCTCATGGAAGAGTCCACGAACATGGACGTGTACCCCAAGGCCCCAGAACTATCTTTTCAGCTGTGAACTAAAGGCCAACAGAGATTATCACTTCAAGGTGGATAATGGTGAAAATGGGCATCAGTTATCAGTAAGAATGGTCAGTTTAGGGGCTGGTGCACATTGTCAAAGCAGAGGCAATGAATTACACAGGCAGTTAATTAAAGTAAGAAGGGCAGAGTTGGGCGAGGTGGCGCATGCCTGTAATCCCAGCACTCAGGAGGCTGAGGCAGGAGAATCACTGTGAGTTCGAGACCACCTGGGCTACATAGTGAGTTCCAGGTCAGTCTCAACTACATAGTGAGACCCTGTCTCAAAAAACAAACAAAAAAATAAAGTAAGAAGGAAGGGGCCGGGGATTTAGCTCAGTGGTGGTGCTGCCTGCCTCAAAACACAAAGACCTGAGTTTGATTCCCGGTATCAAAAATAAATGAAGAAAAAAATAAAGAAACATGGGCAACTTTGAAACTTAGCCTATACTGCTAATGGTTTCCCTTGGGAGCTTTGAAATTACATCACCTGTGGTCCTAAGTTTGAGAGTTGGTGAATATTAGTGGACAGCACTCAGTATCTGTGCAGGAAGATGCAGAGGGGCCAAGGGTGGCACATGGATATAATCCCAGTACTCAGGAGGCTGAGGCAGGAGGATCACTGAGTTCGAGGCCAGCCTGGACTACACAATGACCTCAAGGCCAACCTGAATGACATAGTGAGACCCTATCTCAAAAAAAAAAAGAGGAAGAGGAAGAACAGGCCCTGGAGGTAGTAGTAAGTTTCACAGAAACAAGTGAAGCTAGCTGCTAATGAAGATGAGGATGATGACAGAGATGATGATGGATATATTTGGGGGGGGGGTACCAGAGATCGAACTCAGGACTTTGCACTTGCCAGGCAGGTCCTGTGCCGCTGAGCTAAATCCTGATGAGGAACCTGAAGAGAAAGCTCCACGGAAAAAATTTATACAAGGTACTCCAGTCAAAATGCACAAAAATCGAGTCAGAATGGAAGATTCAAGAACTGTCAACACTAAGGCCAGAAGGCCAGGGATCCTTCAGAAACCAGGAAAAAAATTCCTAAAACACCCACAGGACCTAGTTCTATAGAAGACATGAAAGCAAAAATGCAAGTAAAGAAAAAGCACACTGAACAGTCCTGTGTACTACCGACTAGCCCAAAGACAGAGAGAGGAAAAGAAGAGACACACAGAGCTCATAGCATCACTCGACAGTCCACACTCAGGTCTTCCATTTTAACCTCAGCCCCCTTCCCCGATTTGCCACTCACAGCCCCTTCCAGGCTGGATGCAATCCTCTTTCCAAAGCTCTCTGATTGCTGCGAGTCAGCGAGCTTTACACGTTGCTTTCTATCACTTGTGCGTAGGCCTTTCTCTTGACAATGTTTTAAATACTTGGTATCTCTTTAGCTGCTTAATAAATACTTGAATGACTAAAAAAATATATAGGAGCACTACGTAAGTATCAGTATATTTTTAAAATTTCTATTCATAGCCAATTAAAATACATGAGTTACCTAGCACCACTGAAACTGAAAAACTTTAGACACCTTTACATATGTGGTGAGAGACATGCAAAATTTCCACAAATCATCAAGATACCAAAAAAAAAAAAAAAAGAAAAAAAAAAAAAAAAAAAAAACAAAAAAAAAAAAAAAAAAAAAAAAAAAAAAAAAAAAAAAAAAGAAAAGAAAAGAAAAGACAACCAAATGAAACAAAACAAAACAAAACCAAAAAACCCTACAAAATTTCTTGATGAGCTGGTTAAACCCAACAGCCATTCTCATCCAAGTGACAGACTCAACTCTATTTTAGCCAAAAATCAAACAAGATCTTTGGGGGTGGGGAGAGACATTAAATAACTTGAAATTCAGTTACAAAAGAAGTAAAATGCCCCAGGGAGTTCCTCTTCAGTGGTGTCTCTGCTCTGTTTTTACCAGCTGCATATAATGATCTATTACCTTAACTAAAGGAGTGGCTTCCTTATCCTGGAAAGATTAAAATGTGAGCTAGACACTTGACATTCTTAATCTGAACAATGCTTTCAAGGCCCTTTAAAAAACATCTGGACGAGCCAGGCATGGTGGTACAACCCTGTCATCCCAGCACTCTGGGAGGCTGAGGCAGGAGGATCCAAGTTTGAACCTAGCCTGGGCAACTTAGTGATTAAGTGTGACCCTGTCTCAAAATAAAATATGGCTGGGGATGTAACTCAGTGCAAAGGCCTTGGGTTCCATCCCTAACAGCACCAAGAGGGCAAACAAACAACCACACCTACATCTGAAGAGTCATTTCAGAGAACTTCTTTTTAATACACCATGGCACCAAAATGCAATGTAGACAGCTTCTCCTGTACCTTGAGGATTCTGCTACACACACAGAAAGGAAGCTGCTTTTCCTCTTGCTCTGATTACAATAACCATACCCAATTTTAGGGCATCAAATGTAGTTGAAAAATCAAGCAAACAGAATGGGCATCTTTTACTCAAAATAAGCCTGAGGCTTTAGAAATTAATCACAAATGATATTCCAATGTTGCACCTGCCTTATTATAAACACTGAATCCTCCCGGGCTCTCCAAGTACTGCATTTTGAGATATATTGACGAGATTAGACATTCTGCCAGTTTCTTCTTAGATCATCTGGCTACCTACTATGATTTCAAAGAAATCAAAGAAATAAGATTTCAAGAAAAAGGTTTTATGTTTATTCTTAGTGCCTCAAAAAATGGCCCATTTCGGAGCAGTTTATTATTTTGAAAATATGTGCCCTCTAGTGGTGGGTGTATCTGCAAGCACATTTCCATCAAATCACTCACTATACTGTAGTTACCTAAAGGGAGATCTAAACCCACCACTTTCTTTCCCATGTAACACTAGCTTGGCAGTGGCTATGTAAAGAACTGTTGCCCATGCTCTACCATGACCCTAGGTATTTTTTGTTTTCCCAGTACTGGGGACTGAACCCAGGGCCTTCACATTTAGCTACATCCTAGCCTTTTATTTTTTGAGACACGGTGTTGTTAAGTCACTAAATTACCCAGGCTGGCCTCAAACCTGAGATCCTCCCACCTCACAAGGATTATGGGGCTCTGGCTATGATCCCAGTTCAGAATGTACAACAGGGTCTCAATTTCGGGGGGGGGGCTCAGGTTCTTTCTTTTTTTAAATTTTATTTTTAATTTAAATTTATTAACTGCTCATAAGAACATAAAAACTGCTCAGGATACAAGCCCTAGGTTTGCTCCCTAGCACTGCAAAACACACACACAAAAATAACAAAAAGTTCAAACTATTTGATACGTGTAATGTTTAAATTAAGTTAAATGCGTCTGTCTCCTCAAATATTTATTATGTATCTATGGTGAAAACATTCAAAATCCATTGTTCTACTTACATCAGGAAAGTTTCAGGCCCCTCTAACCAAAGGCCAAGTGGCACAACTACTCAGGGGGCTAAAGCAGGAGGACTGTAAATTTGAGGCCAGCCGGAGCAACTTTGTGAGTTGTGAGAAACTGTCTCAAAATAAAATGTTTCAAAAATATTGGGGGCTTACCTCAGAGGTATAGCACTTGCCTAGCACGAATATGGCCTTGGGTTCAATTCCTAGCACCAAAAAAACAAAAAACAGAAACACCAAGAGCCTAATGGTATTTTTTTCCCCTTGAGACAAGGTCTTGCTACACTGCCTAGACTGGCCTCAAACTCCTGGGCTCAAGCAATCCTCTTGCCTCAGCCTCCCAGAGTAGGTAGGACTACAAATGTGTATCACAGAGTTCCGTTTTTAATGGTTAATGTACATGCAGTTTACAAACACCTTGGGGAGTGGTATACATGTATATAATACAGCTTGTTTCTTTTTCTAATCCCCTTCCCTCCTATCTCCCTTAACAGTTCATTTTTTTGTTTGTTTGGGTTTTTTTGAGACAGGGTCTCACTATGTCGTTCAGACTAACCTGGAACTCACTATGTAGCCCAGGCTGGTCTCAAACTCACAGCAATCCTCTTGCCTCAGCCTACCAAATGCTGGGATTACAAGCGTGCGCCACCATGCCCGGCTCTTTAATGGTTCTTAAAGTACAATTTTTCTGTCTGTGTGTCTCTCTCTGCCTCTTTGTGTTTCTCTTTAATTTTGAGACAAGGTCTTGCTATGTAGTCCAGGCTGGCCTTGAACTTGAAGCAATCTTTCTGCCTCAGCCTCCCAATTCCTGGGATTACAGGTGTGTGCACCAAGCCCAGCCAAAATATACTTTCATAAGCAATTCTCAAGCTTGTAAAATAGTCAATTATTTGACACCTATCATGAGAAAATGCCATTCCCAAAGCTAGAAAACCCAAATCTGCAAAGCAGCACACACATTTAAAGCATGCCACATACTAAATACACAGCTAACTACATTTAAGCATGCGACCAGAGAGAGAAGGGGGAAATGACACTGCAGCAGTGTCGGAGATCCTCCTTGCCCTTCTGTTACACACCAGATCCAGATGGCCTAGAGGGCAGAGGGGGCAATGTATCGTTCTTGTACACACAAGGAAGATTCCCACCCCTCACTGCTCTCCTAGTGTGAGCATCGTGGTATGCTGGGCCTGATGTGTGTGGATGTAGGAGGCAGACCTCCATCATAAGAGTATCTATTCCCCTTCAAACATTTTCTTAAACACATATACACACACACATTTTTTCTCCTAAAGTTGTGAATGCATATTGACCAAAGGGAGGGCTCTCCAATCTTCCCACACACTGACCTTCTCCGCCATGGCGTCCATGTAGTCCTGCCGCTGATACTCCCTCCTACGCAGGTGTCTATACACGTGAAACTCACCACTGCCAGCCCCAGCACTGGAACCTACAGCCAGAACAATTCAGAATTCTAGATGAAATCCAGTTACCAACACAGGCTACCCCAAAAGGGTCTCTCTCTCTCTCTCTCTCTCTCTCTCTCTCTCTCTCTCTCTCTCTCACACACACACACACACGGAAAAAATCATGCCTGCCCCTTTTCCACTTGTACCCAAGAGCAAAAACATGGTACCCAGCATGCTATAGGCCTTATTAAATCCCTTGTTGCATGAGTATTGACTGTAGTCATTAAAAATTCAATTTTAACAGTATTAAAAGGAGGAACAAAAAAAATAAATAAATAAAGTAAAAGGAGGAACAGATTGTGATTCAAAGACCAGAGATCTAGAAGAAAGCTGTGTCCTCCCCCTTCGTTTTACATTTAGACATCTTGCAAGTTGAAAAATGTCTATGATGCATTAAGTGAAAAGAAGCTGGCTACAAAAATAGTGTAAAAGAATTATATTTTTATAAAAACGTTTTTAGACACAGGGTCTCACTATGTAGTTTAGGCTGGCCTCAAACTTGCAGCAATCCTTCTGCCTCAGCTTCCCAAGTGCTGAGATTATAGGTGTGCCACCACATGCCAGTATAAAAAGCATTTTTCTTAAACAAGGGTTTTTTTTTTTTTTTTTTTTTTTTTTAAGATAAAGAGTCTCACCATGTAGTTTAGGCTGGCCTCGAACTCCTGCCTTTGCCTCCTGAATGCCAGGATTACAGGTATGTGCCACCAGGACTGGCTCCTGGTACTTTTTTTGAGACAGTGTCTCAGTAAGTTGCTAAATTGTATGGGCTGGGATTGAACTTTCAATCTTCCTGCCTCAGGTTCCCAGATTATAGGTGTGCTCCATAACATCTAGCTCAATATAATGCATTATTAAAATTAATGTATGGGCTGGGCGTGGTGGCGCACGCCTGTCATCCCAGCACTCAGGAGGCTGAGGCAGGAGGATCACTGTGAGTTCGAGACCAGCCTGGACTACATAGTGAGTTCCAGGTCAGTCTCAACTACACAGTGAGACCCTGGCTCAAAAACAAACAAAAATAATAATAATAATAAAATAAAATTAATATATGGGGTCAGTATTTAGCTTAGTGATGCCTCTGTCTGCCTCACAAGCACAAGGACCCAAGTTCAATCCTGGTACCAAAAAAAAAAAAAAGAGAGAGAGAGAGAGATTAATGTAGAAGAGGGGCTGGGGATTTAGCTCAGTGGCAATCGCCTGCGCTACAAGTGCGTGCAAGGTCCTGCGTTCAATCCCTGGTACTGAGGAAAAAAAAAAAGATTAATGTAGAAGAGCATATTCCTGTAATCCAGCACTCAGAAAGCTGAGGCAGGAGGATCACAAGTTTGAGAACGACTTGGACAACATAGGGAGTCTGAGGTCAGCCTGAACTACATGGTATAATCCTCTCTCTCTCTCAAAAAATAAATAAATAAATAAAGTTTTGTAATGCTAAAACAAGCAAACATACCATTTCTTTCTTTTCTTTTCTTTTTTGGTACTGGGGATCAAACTTGGGCCCTTGTGCTTGCAAGGCAGGCAGCAGAACCACTGAGCCAAATCCCCGACCCCCATACCTTTTCATTTTAAGAACAAAATACTGCAATGGTGAATTTCCTCCTTATCAAATACCAACTGCAGGATTTTTATATATTCCTTTAAAATTATATTCACACAAACATACAGACAAAACACATTACCCATAACATCTCGGACAAATTCTGGGGGAGGTCGAGGTGCCCATTCACTCATTTTTTCTGGAATTGGAACAGCTTTGTCCTGCAATAAACAGGAAAGCATTTGTAGGTATAAAATCTGCTGACAAAGTTACATCTCTTGCAATCAAAGACTATCGAAGAGGGGTGCTCTGTTCCTGAAACCCAGGGGTCATTTTATGTTCTACCCTATCTTGGCTTCAGTTTATCCTGTACACTTGGGTGTAAAACAGCCCACAGACTTCCGAGGGCTGCACTTTCCAGAAATAGGAAATCTAAACCACCAATCGCGGCTAGAAACGTCCAACTTTTTAACACTGCAAGAGGAGTGATTTTTCCTAATCAAAGGTATAAAAAAAGATCTTTTCATCCAATACTTTTTATGATCGAAAGGACTGAGGTCTGGAGGGGAGAGGGAGGCGAGAAGTGACTTGCCCCTAGCGTCTTGGCCATGGCTCTTTAACAATAGGAGCTGTTTAGAAGAATTAAGTTCTTTTGTAAAGCTACAGATCCTATATTTTCAGCCTAATGTTTTTGTTCCCAGGAAGCTAACCTAGAAAGGACCTCAGAGTGCTCTACAGCACCTACACGCAGGCTGGCCTGTTAACGTAAGCACAGCCGGAAAGGTCACTATCTCCAGGGCAGCCTGAACCTCCCGGAGGGCTGTCCTGCGGGATGATTCGGAGTTCCAGACTCGAGCCGCGCAGAACCTTGTTCGTGGGCCCTCAGAGGCGCGCAAGAAAAAAGGTGGCTTTGAACGGGTAGCGGAGCCGTCTTACCGGGTTCTTCATAAGCCGCTCCAGCTTGAGCTTCTGCTCCTCCGCCGCATTTTTGGGGATGACGAGCGCCTGCGGCTCTTTCTTTGGCCTCGGTGGTCGTACCGCAGAAGGGGCAGAGCTCGCCATAGAAGCTTTCCTATTTTCCTAAGCAAAGGACTACGGCGGCGTGCTATTATGACGTCAGAGGGGCACCTGGCACGCATGCGCACTGTGACCACGGAGGGCTGGGGCGGTGTTGCAAGCCGGAAAGAGATCACTGAATATTCAGGAGCCTGAAATCCTCAGCGTTTATCCGCCCCCCCCACAACATGCCGGGGCTCGAACTCAGGACAATGCACTCGTGAGGCAGGTACAGTCCTCCCGCTGCGTTTACTTAGATCAAAGCTGCTTGAGTTCATTTCCTGTTTATTAACAAATCAGTGCAGCCTGCAGCTCACTTCCTTGCGGGAGAGGTGGCCCTTCATGTCCGAGTGGCCCTGGCCCTAGCTGACCTCTCCAGTCCCTTTGGGGGCGTCATAGTGCTCAGCACGCAGGCCGGTGCTTGTGTCTGGTCCCTGCTTTCCCCTATTTGAATACCACAGCGCAAACGTGTCACCAATCTCTGAAGACAGGGGCCGGGGATTTAGCTCAGTGGTTCTGCGGCCTGCCTCACAAGCCCAAGGACCCAAGTTCAATAACCGGTACAAAAAAAATTGAGGGGGGCAGGGGATTTACCTTAGTGGTTCTGCCGCCTGTCTCGCAAGTGCAAGGACCCAAATTCGATCCCCGGTACCAAAAAAAAAAAAAAAAAAAAAAAAAAAAAAAAAAAAAAAACTCTGAAGACGGGCTAGATCTTTGTCACCTTGAAATTACTTAGCTCCCTGAAACTATACCTTTGGGGAGTGAATGAGTCTTCTTTGGTGATGGTGGGGCTACCAGGGCCTTCACACCGAGTTACATCCCCAGCACTTTTCTTATTTTTTAATTAAATACATTTTATTTAGCCGGGCGTGGTGGTGCACGCCTATAATCCCAGCACTCGGGAGGCTGAGGCAGGAGGATCACTGTGAGTTCGAGACCAGCCTGGGGCACATAGTGAGTCCCAGGTCAGCCTTAATTACATAGTGAAACCCTGTCTCAAAAAAAATTTTTTTTAAATTTATTATTATTTTTGTTTGAGACAAGTTTGCGCTAAATGGCTAAATTACCCAAGCTGACCTCTAACTTGCTGTCCTCTTGCCTCAACCTTGTAAAGTACCCAAGTTAAAGGAGTGCACCACCAAGTCTGGCTGATGTTATCATTTAAATTGGTAGTAGATTTTTTTTTTTTCTGTAAGGTGGTGAATCTCATCTAATTAGTTGAAAACCTAAATCAACTGAGGGATTTAGCTCAGTGGTGCCGCCACCTGCCTCGAAAGTACAAAGTCCCGAGTTTGATCCCTCACACCAATAAATAAATGAAATAATAATAATAATAATTTAAAAAATAAAAACCAGAAACCCAACCTTTCTTCAGATTCATGGCTTCTGAATCAGGTAATACAGCGTTGGCTCTTCGCCTGCCCTTCAGACTGGGTCTGAAACATGGCTGCCTTGGGTCTCAGGCCTTCCAACTCAATTCTTTCAGACAGGAACTGCATTATTAGCTTTTGTGGCTCTCCAGCTTCCTGCCTCACCTGCAGAGATTAGGGTTTGTCAGTCTCTATAGTTCTGTGTAATAAAATTCTTTATAATAAAATACATCCTATTGGTTATTTCTCTGGAGACTCTAATACAAATATTTATTAAGCTGTCTAATCATAGACTTCACTTCCTGACAGCATCTAACCCACAGCAAAAGCATATTTATTTGAATCCTCCCCAAATCACCTTACACAAAGCCCAAATCCTGTAATATACCCTTTCAACACCCTCTCACTGAAATAAGAGCAGTCTTCCTTCCTGCAGCAAGCCATAAACACAATTTGTTCAATTACAGGTGTGTTTTTAGTGGGCTTCACCCGCTGAGGAATGAGCCTAGGGCCATCACCCTGAGCTACATAACAAGCCCTTTTAAAATAAATAAATAAATAGAGACAGGATCTTGCTAAATTGCTAAGTTGCTTAGGCTGGGTTTAAACTTGTGATCCTCCTTCCTTAGCCTCCCATGCTGGGATTATAGGCACGCTAGCCTAGCTGTTGGCTTTCTTTTTCTCTTGGGGGCGGGCAGTTGAGATAGGGTCTTGCCATATAGTCCAGGCTGGCCTTCCCACTTTGTAGCCCAGGCTGTCCTCAAACTCACAGCGATCCTCCTGCCCTGCCTCAGTCTCCCAAGCGCCGGGATTACAGGTCTGCACCACCACAACCAACCTTAGCTATTGGTTTTCTTGTTTTGTCATTTCTCCCTTTCTCTCCTTGACAGTAGATGGTTGGTTTTGTTCACTGCCGAACTCCATTGTCTGGGGAAAGACCTTAGCAAGGTATTCAACAGACATCTGCTATATGAACATGGCACCTTGGGGCAGTCACCTTAGTGCCTCCTGCCTAGACCAGGGCAGCTCTCCACTGGGTCCCCAGGCAGATGGACAGGTGGGACTGCCTGGTAGTGGGTGGCTTTCCAAGGGTGAGGAAAATTTGGGGAAGCTCTTGAGTGGCCCAGGTCTGTCACTCCAATGTGGGGAAGGCTTGACCTGGGTGAAATCACACATACAAACTCACCAACCACCCTACCAAATCGGCACCTCACTCTTCTCCAAACACTGTATAAAACAAAGGCATTGCTGTAAGGTCCTTGGAGAACTCCCACACAACCTCTTTTTTGTTTTGGTGGTGGTGGTTGGTACTGGGAATCACACCCAGGGCTGCATGCATGCTAGACAAGCACCCTACCTCTGAGCTGCATCCCAATCCTTTTTATTTTTCATTTTGAGACAGGTTCTCACTAAATTGCCCAGGCTGGCCTGGAACTTGTGATCCTTCTGCCTCAGCCTCCCAAGCAGCTGGGATTATAATCATATGCCACCATGGTTGACCCATACAATCTTCTTATCTTGTTTTAAACGTTATCTCCTCACTGAGTATGATAGCGCATGCCTGTCATCCCAGCACTCTGGGAGGCTGAAGCAGAAGGATCGTAAGTATGAGCCCGGCCTTTGCAACTTAGTGTCTTAGCGGGGACTTGTTTCACTTGATCTTAGCCAAAAGGCTGAGAAGCGATTGAGACCCTGTTTCAGAAGAAAAAAGTGGGGGTGGGCTTGGAATGTAGCTCAGTAGAAAGGCCTTAGGTTCAATCCTCCCCACCAAATGCAAAATGTGAAAAAGTCTATCTCCTCCATGAAGCCTTTTTGGAACGCCCTCCACGCCCCCTTCGGACAGTAGATTCCTCCCTTCTTGGTGCTCCCTCCTCCCGGGCCTGATGGCTGGTATGGTGGTTACCACAGTTTCCTTACCAGGCCTGAGCAGAATGCCAGCATGTAACCCTGGCCTGGTACACAGCCGGGCAGGAGGGGGGGTCACTTCTGGAATGCTTGGGAAACAGAGGAATGGAAAAACAAATGAAGAGTGAATGAACAGATGAATGAATAAATAAGGACGTTGAGTGTGAAAAAAGCTGAATGAATGCTCATTAAATAAATGAACACTCCATGTGTGAATGAAAACTTGAGATACTGGAGTAGCAGAGAGTGACAGAGCCAGGAGGGAAGGGGGGTGCTGTCTGCTTGGCAGATGTCTCCCGGCAGGCACGCAGTGATAGCTGCTGTGTGGGGAAGTTCAGCGAGAGAAGGCAGTGAATCAATGCAAGGAGGAAGCAGGGAGTTAAAGAGACCATAATAGCAACCTCCATATCGAAGTCGGTCTGTGTGGACATTTTCATCATCCCAGTTGTACAGAAAAGGAACTGAGGCCCAGGGAGAGGGGAAGGTCACACAGACCCAAGGCTACAGTCTGGTATGAGGGCCCAAGTAATTAAGTGAGTCACAGACGGATGGGACAAGATGCATGTGGTGCTCTCTACATGGTGCCCCCCTCGGACTGAGGCCAGACTTGAGGTTCTGCCGCTTGGGATGAAGGCATTGGTCCCTCAAACTGGAGGACCCCATGAGCCTCAGAACCACAGTGCGGTCCCACCTGCCACCAGAGGGCAGCAAAGCCCCTCCCAGCCCCCTAGGCCTCAAGTCCAAGCCCTGGGCCAACAACACCTTATCCATCTGCCCCAGGAACCAGAACTGGGTACCTAGAGTCTGGGAGACCTGGTGCCAGAGTTTAGCTCCGCCTATCCTGGGCCTGGATATCAATTTAGCCTCTCTAAGGCTATTTCCTTATACATGAAGTAGACACAAGCAAATTTACCCTCCTTGACATGAGGGATTACAGATGGACAGTGTCCAGCCCAGCACTTGGCACTTTAGCAGGTGACCACCTGACCCAGTTTGGTCCCAGGACGAAGGGGCTCCAGGACATAGGACTTTTAGTGCTTAAACCAAGAGAGTCTCAGGCAGACTGAGACAGTTGGTCCCCCTAGAAGGATGGGCATTCCCGCCTCAATCCTTTAAGTGATAGATGATACAAAAAGTGCTAAAACAATAACGCTTTTTACAAGTGTTCCATAATTTGAGTTTCTGATTGAATGAGTAAGCTAAAGGTCCTTCTATGTGGTCAATGACAAGAGAACAGATCCACCCACAGAGATAAAAACGCAGCTCAGTGGTAGAGTTCTTGTCTAGCATGCATGAGGCCTAGATTTAACCTGCAGCACCAGAAGGAAAAAATAAAACCAGAAAAGAAAATAATTTTATATTAAATACAGAACATACTCACTTCAGAAAAGTTTGTCATTTGTTGTTGTTGTTGTTTACAGTACTGGGGGTTCTAGCCCTTTTTATTTATTGAGTACTGAATTATTTTTGAGACAAGATAAATGGGATCTGGGGGACCTGGTGCCCAAGTTTGGCTCCACTTATGATGGGCCTGGGCAGCAACTTCTCAGGTGGGACTTGAACTTGCGATCCTCCTGCCTCAGCTTCACTCAACACTTGGGATTTCAGTCATGTGCCACCAACCCAGTTAGCATCTCACTTTCTTTTCTTTTTACTTTTTTTGAGACAGGGTCTCACTATGTAGTTGAGACTGACCTGGAACTCACTATGTAGCCCAGGCTGGTCTCGAACTCACAGCAATCCTCCTGCCTCAGCCTCCTGAGTGCTGGGATTATAGGTGTGCGCCACCATGCTCGGCTACTTTCTTTTACAT